GGCCCAGGCTCCTTCGCGGAGCCGGTGAGGGTCAGGCTGAGCACAGCGTTCACCACAAGGCTCCTTGCCCTAGAATGAAGATGCTTAAATGGTGGCAGGAAAATCAGATTCTCAAAACCGAGGAGGCCTTGATGCTCAAGAAACCAGAGCTGCAGGAGGAGCCAGGAAACCCCCAGGAATCTGAAGCTGCAGCCCCACCAGCTGGGGCGGGAGGTAAACCCCACGCCCAGCAGTCAAGCCGCAGCTGCAGGCCCCGCCCACCCGCCACCGGCGGACGCCCAGGGGGGCTGGTTAAGAGAGGAGACTCCCAAGCCCCCACCCCATGCACTGGCCAGCGAGCCCTGAGCCCCAGCGGCTGCGCGGATGGTGAGCTTGCCGCAAGCTCTCCCGCCTTTCCGAGGCTGCCCTGGCGCGGAGCTGCAGGCTGGGCCTTAACTGGGGTTCCTGGTGGGGGTTGCTCGCTCTTCAAGACCGGGTCCCCCAGGAGCAGGCCGGCGTGCGCTGCCCGTGGGAGGGCCCTGCGGGCCTGGGGAGGCCGGCGCGGACACTGGAAGTCCAAGCTCACGGTGCAGGAGGCTGGGTCGATTCCTTCCGAGGCCTCTCTCCTGGGCCCGAGGACGGTGCCTTCTCTTCCTGTGGTCTCCCTTCTGTGCGCGTCTGTGTCCTAATCTCTTCTATGAGAGCACCAGCCACATGGAGCACGGCCCACCCTAGGCCCTCATGTAACCCTAATTCCCTGCATCGAGACCCCATCTGCAAATGTAGTCGTGTCTGAGGCACCAGGGGCCAGGACATCAACATAGGAATGTGGGGAGTCGGGGACACAGTTCAGCCCATAACAGAGGCTTAAAGGGGCGGGCTGGCCCCTCCACATGGGGGTGCCCAGAGAGGGGGGGGCTCGCCGGACCGAGGGACAGCAGCTCTGGTTCTCCGCAGTCCGGGGCTCCTGAGACAGAAGAGTGTAGACTTGCGGACTCCGAGGCGGGTCACGACCCACTTTCGGGCTCCGGCCCGGCTGGGGCTGCACAGCCTGCAGAGCACCTGTGACGCCTCGCCCTAGACACCAGACCTGGAGGCCTGCAGCCCGGCTCCTGCCCGGCCACTCGGTGAGCACCCCGGGCCTCCGGGTGCCAGGCCTCACGTTAGCCCACGCAGGGACACGCCTGGCACCTGCCCCCGAGGGCAGCAGGCAGGCGACACACGGAGCAGAGACAACACACGCCAGGACACGCCAAGGAGGCAGTGCCAGGACACAGGCTGCCACCTTTGCTGCCGCACGGCCACTGTGAGCCCCAAGTGACCACGGACCGAGGCCAGCCTGACCCTGCCTTCGCGGGGAGAGGCAGTGAGAGTAGGCGGGAAGTGGCTGAGACACTAAAGGACCCCAGGGGCACCTCTGCAGGACATTGGGGATCACGAGGCCCTGCACTCCACACACTGCACACTGTGCAAACGGGCAAACTGAGGCTCACCACGCCTCAGGCCACACAGCAAAACTGCAAGCTGCTTGGGACTCCTGCGTCCCCGACCGCTGGCCCTGCGGCGGCCGCCCTGGGCCCGGACACTTTCTCCCGACCTGTGAGACTCTGGTGCGAGCTGCAAGCGGGGCCAAAGCCCACGCGACGGCCCGGCCGGGAGCCAGTGTGAGCACGGCTGGCCTGGTGGGCCGCTCTGAAGGGGGCGCCAACCACGCGGGAACTCCCCCCCACCCCCCTCCCCCGCCCTGCCGGGGCATTGGCAACGTAAACAACAAGGCGCTACTGCCCTAGCTCCTCTAATTCTTTTTCGCGCGTTTTGCACGAAAGGATCCAGAGATCCTGATTTCAGTGTGAAAATTTCTTGCTTCCACATGCCTTGGTTTTACAGCATGTGTTTTTATAGGCAAGATTGGTTGAAGTCGGACCTCTCATTTGCACACCTGATCAGAACAGAAGCCTAGAGCAGAGGGGACCCCTCTTTCTTAACTCCCCTACGTTGCCAAAGGCAACCAGAATCCCCAGGCACAGGAAGAAGCTTGGGTCTGGAAGGACGAAGAGGGTCCCCAGGTGGAGAAGGAGGGTCCGGTGTTCACTCGTGTGGCTGCAAACGTCCCCAGAGCCCCCATGTGCCAGGCCCCAGGCAAGGGGTGCAGACAGGAGTCAGGCCCGGGTCCTGCCCATGGAACTCCAGGCCGTCACAGCCCCGTGTGGTCAGGCCTCCAGGGAGTGGGGAGCTCCTGGGAGATAGGGGCTGACAGTGGGGAGGGAGGGTCGGACGCCACCTGGGGGGCAGGCGTTGCCTCCTGAGCAGGGAGACTTGCAGGCGGGGTGACGGCAGGCCGGGTGCAGGGAGCCCCAGGACCAAGGCAGGAGGCACGGGGTGCTCAGAGCACTCCCACAGGGCGTGCTCAGTGAGAACTGAGCCAGGCGAGGTGTCATGGGCTGGGCCTGGGCAAAGCTCCCCTCAAACAGGCCTCGACTCCCACCCAGCCCACCTGGGAAGGGGAAGGGGGAGCCTGTCCCTGGCGGCCAGTTTCCCCTCGGGCTGAAGCACACACACAGCGACGGTGTCCCTGAGCCTGGCTGCAGAGTCCTGATGCCCCACCAGCGAGCACCACTGAGAGAGAGCAGGTGTGGTCGGTCATGTGTGGGCAAACGTGGCACCCACGTGGGTGGGCGGTGGGGAGGAAGTGGCTTGGAGCCAGCAGCAGCTCCACGAGCAACGATGGGCTGAAAAGTGGAATCGTCTCCCAAGAAGTGGTTACGGGGCTGAAATCTCTCCCCAGAGTCAAGGGAAAGACACACGAAGGCACTCAGGGTCAGACAGACAGACAGACAGGGCTCCAGTCCCAGGCTGCGTGCGTCTGGGCAAATTGCCGAGCCTGTTGGAGCAGGGTCAAGAGTCAGACCTGAAGGGCAGTGATGCAGCTCCCGGGAAAACCCCTGCAGAGGGCCTGGAGGAGCCTGCGGCAACCTCTGAGCAGACACGTGCTGACGCCTGCTGTGTATGGGGTCCCCAAGGCCACCCTCAGGCTCAGTGATTCATTAGGACTCACAGCTCAGCAAAGCTGCCGTCCTCACAGTGATGTTTTATTGCAGCAAAAGGACACAGACTAATATCTGCCACTGGAAAGGATGCTCAGGCAGAGTCCAGGACAGACTAGGTGCAGATCTCCAGCTCTCCCTCTCCCAGTGGCAAGTGACCCTGGAACTGCCTGTCCAAGTAGGGCGCTCTGTCACAGGCAGCTGAAAGCATCGGAACCGACATGGCCTCCCACACAGAGCACCTTGCGGGAAGGCAGGGCAGGTGGATTCGGCACCATTCCGTGTGGAAGGAGGGGAGGGAACTGCTGTGGAGGACGGCAGGGGCAGACAGGTGCACCCCCGCTCCCCACGCGGGGTGTGCCAGGCCAGGGCCGTGCTCTTGAACTCGCCAGGGTCACCCTCCAGGACCAGGTCCCCTTGTCGTCCTGTCGCTCCTACCCCCCATGGCACATATGTAAAAATATAAACGTGTCCCTGGGGAATGAAGACCCGGCGTAAGCAGAGTCGTCCGGGTGCAGACACCAGCGCCTGGGAGGTTCCCCAGAACCCCAGTTGCCGTTCAGCAGTCGGTCTTGGCTGCGGGGGAGGATTCCTGCTCCCGGGGGTTGGGGATGCAGAGGCGGCCGGGCAAGCGGGCTTCTGGTCCCCTTGCGACACCCACTCGGCCCCTACGGACAGGCGGGAAGAGACTTAAGCGCTGAGAAAGCCAGCCCGGGCGAGGGCTCCACCCTCACCGTGCCCAGCCGGGCTCTGCGGCCTTGGAAACAACTCCAGACACAACCGGATTCCGCCCGCGGGCAGGACCGCGGGACCTGCGGGGACAGCCACCCTCTGTCCGTCCCTCCCTCCCTCCACCGCCACGTGGGGCACACTGCTCTAGTTCTGGGGGCTTGGATGACTGCCGGTATCTCTCAATTCTCAATTCTCTCTGTACCCTCCGCACCGCCCGACGCCCTGACCGTCCTGCGTGCCGCTCCCTCGCCGGACTCCGCCTGGCTTTGAGCGGCGCTCAGAGCGGCCGGAGCGCCTGTCCGCACGGGCTGCGCCTGCGCCTCCGCCCGCCGCTCCGCCCGCCGCTCCTCCTCATTGCGGTCTGGGTCTCGGCCTGAGCGTCACTCCTTAAGAGCGGCTTCCCCCAGACCAGCGGCTGCCAAGGGGTGAGAGACAGGGGAGGAGTTGACTACAAACCGGATGAGGGGATTTTGGGGAGAAGGTGAACTGTTTTGTGCCTTTTTGTGATGTCTACCCAAGTGTTGTCAGCACCCAGACCTGTGCACCAACAAGGGGATATTTTTACCATAAGTTATACCCCAAGCCCGATTTGAGAATATGAGCAGTGCAGACACTGCGAGTGCCGATCAGCCTCACCCGAGTAACTGCAGGTTCACCTACGCCTGATTCAGTCCCTGACCCGCCCACTCCCCCACATCCCTGCCTGCGGAGATCAGAAGTGCGTTCTGCTCAGACTGTGCTGGACCAGTGAGGGGAGACGCTGTGCCGGCCGGAGCGCCCAGCAGCGTTGTCACAGAGTGGACGAGGCAGGTGCCAGGACAGCTCCGGGGGTGGGGAGGGGGGTGCCCAGGAGTTTGTCTTGCAGTGGCCGGCTCAGACCAGCTCTGACTGCTTTAAAACTGCCGTGGCCGCCCTTTGCTGCACTGGAACACTGAAACCCCCACCTAGGGGAAAGCCGATGTCATTGCCGTGACTTGGTTGCGTGGGGGGAGGTGCAGGGCAGCAGTGCTCGCAGGTGCGTGCGATTTGTTTCCCTGTGAGCAAGCAAGGACACAACGTAAAGCCCTGAGCCGTTCACTGGGAAGGGAGTCAGGGCAGCGCCACCGGGTGGGCAGAGGCGGATCCCGCACAAAGCAAGCGCCTGCGGAAGCAATTCCTGTGACCCCCAGGAGCGGGTGCCCTTATAGGTGACCTCTAGACAACCTCATCTAACTCGTCCAGCTGGACTTGCAGGGTCATTCTTTGGTCTCTCCACTTCCTCTCGGTTTGGGGTGGTTTTCCTGCACTGTCCTGGGATTTTCCCAAAACAACCAGCCCTTTATTACACTAAACAATGAATTCAGCTTCGTGTGCTTGTGGTTGAGACACTGAGTGACAGTCACACCATCCCTTTGATACTTTAGGTGTGTGCTTTGAAACCAGCAGGAGTGTTCTCCAAACCTGGGGCCCTCCCAACCTCTTTGATCGTCAGTTGCACCCCACTAGCCAGGAAGACCACTCGACCCTTTTCCAGATGCGCTCAGTGTTTATTTGGTCTGATTCTCCATGCTCCGAGGCAGGACGGACATGTCACAGAGACTGAGGTCCTGTGTCTTGAGGGTCACGCCAGCCATGAATGCGGCGACCAAGCTACGCTGGACACAGTGTCATCACTGCCGCTGGGGCTTTGAGAGAATCAGGACTCATTTTCCGTCTCGGAGAAGGAACTCCCAGAGCTTGCCCGAGAAGGCAGCTTTTACGGTTCCTCCATCAGAAGGGGGGGGAGGGTTTCATGTCTTCAGTATTTCCACCAATACCGGGTCTCTCTGTCAAAATCGTACCAATGGCTACTAATCAGGAGTCGGGGCTTGAGCAGCTGCAGCTCCTCCAGCAGCTTTTGCACCTGCACAGGGTACTGGGTCTTGCACAGCCTGGGGAGGGAAGAAGACGACATTACTCCATGGCTTTGCTTTGCACTCCTCTCCCTTCCGCTATGTTCCTGGAGACCCCCGTCGAGGATCTAAAACCTTTTCTTGTACTGTTACAGGGCAGCAGCACATCCCCAACAGAATAAGAGCGAATCCCCGCGTGCAAAGGCACTCTCAGGTGCGCCAGGCACCCTTCGAGCCTTGCTGGGCACCTGCTCCCCACAACCACCTCAGCAGGCGTGCGAGGTCACCCAGTCCGCCCTCGAATTCCTTCCCGAGAGTCGCTTTCATTCCGGGTCCTGAGACGGGGTTTGGAGGTACAGTGGGTCCTAACTTAACACAGTTGACATGTTCTTGGGAACTGTGAATTTAAGCAAAACAACATATAGCAGGTTTTCCAGTAGTGTTGTTTCCTTAGAGTTGTTTTGTCATGAGGAAAAAAAAAATTGGCTGTGTTATGCATGGTTTTGCGTAAAACCGCAGTTTCCCAGAGCCTATGGCAACGTTGAGGGAGGCTTGCTGTGCAGCGACAGGCGAGGCCAAGCCCCACCCTCGCCAAGCTCACATTCTAGAGGAGCAGAAGGAAGCGGTGCCGAAGGGGACACACAGGATCACGCTCATTTTACAGATGGGGACACACGCCCAGAGAATGCCAGTCAGAAAACCCAGGGCTGCTTCTGCCCTACTTCGACCTCCAAGTCTGGGGTCACCGCCTGGCCCTTCCTCCTGGCCACGCGGCCTCAGAAGCCGCTGTTCCAAACGCGCCCCTCCGGCACAGCGCCCTGCCTTCTCCGCTCCGCTGGTCGCTGTGACGGTCCTGTGCCGTGTCGCCATCTCAACTCCATCGAGCCACGTTGCCCAGTGTGTCTCCCCTTCCCACCCTCGCCTTTCCCACCCTCCTGCCCCTCTCGGACCCCAGGGTCCCCCG